AGTTTGGAAATTAATAAATTACCACCGCTCCTCGATTCAATCCAGTCGAATCGATGTTATGAGCAATGGCAACAAACTCTATCGGACCACAAGCCCAAGCGGCTGGGTCTGCTCGAGTCCCTCGTCCGATGCTTCTTCACTGATATTCTGCTCGCGTGGCTTCTCTCGGGCGGCTTCGTGTTGACCCGAATCGGGACTTTCGTCCTCCTGAACGAGTTGATCGTCTTCTTCACAGACCAGGGTCAGCCCTCTTGGAAGGGTTACGTGTACGGTTTCTTGATCTTCGTGCTTCAGCTGATGTCTTCGCTGATCCTCCGCTGGTCGTACTTCTTCGCGCTGAATCTTGGTTTGAAATTCAAGGCCATTCTCACCAGTGCAATTACGAGGAAATCTCTGCAGATCAGCGCGACTTCTCTGGCCAAGTACAGCGTGGGAGAACTCGTCAACCTGTTATCGGTCGACGCGGATAAGATCTGTGTTTTCAGCATAAGCTTCTGCTACATGGTCAGCTGTCCACTCCACGTGATTCTGTGCATCGCCCTAGTGTGGAACTTCCTCGGAATTTCGTGTTTGGCCGGAGTCGCGGTGATCGTGATCATGACCCCGCTGACCGCCGTCGTCGCCGCCTTCTGCCGAATCGTTCAAGTGAAACAGACGAGCCTCAAAGACACTCGATTGAAATTCGTCAACGAAATTCTAAGCAGCATTAAAATAATAAAGTTTTACGGATGGGAACCGCCCTTTCTAGAACGCGCACGGAAAGTCCGTTTCGAGGAATTCAAACTCCTCAAGAGATTCGCGTACCTTACCGCAATCTTGAGGCTTTTCTGGTCTGTGACACCTTTTCTGGTTTCTCTGTTCGCATTCATCGCGTATCTCTGGATTAACGACGTGACCGTCATCCGAACCAACGTAGCGATCGTATCGCTCTGCCTATTCAACAGTCTACGCTTCTCTCTCTCCATGATTCCCGACACGATATCGAACGCTATCCAGACTTTGGTGTCTCTGAAGAGGATCGGGGTTTTCCTCGACGCTCCGACTCGCGCGGAGAACACCGTTGGTAAACAGCCGGGAACGGGACTTTCGATGAGATGGCAGAACGCTCTCCTCGCGTGGAACGAAGATGACATGCATCTACCCGTCCTGAAGAACATAAACCTCTCCGTACGGACCGGGGAACTCGTCGCCATCGTAGGCAGAATCGGATCAGGGAAGTCATCCCTGCTATCATCGATGCTCGGTGATCTCCAAGTGCGCCAGGGTAAACTCGACCTGCGTGGATCAATCGCTTACGTTCCTCAACAAGCCTGGATACAGAACGCGAATATCAAACAGAATATTATATTCGCGAATGAATTCGACAAGCTGTTCTATAAGCAGGTTCTGGACTGCTGTTGTCTGACAGCCGATTTGAAGATTCTTCCCGCGGGCGAGAGGACTGAGATCGGCGAAAAAGGCGTCAACTTGAGCGGTGGTCAGAAGCAGAGAATTTCCCTCGCTCGTGCGGTCTACCAACGGAAGGATATTTATTTCCTTGACGATCCTCTCAGCGCCGTGGACGCACACGTGGGGTCAGCCATATTTTCCAAGGTGATCAGCAATAAAGGGATCCTAAGCGGGAAAACTCGGCTATTCGTCACGAATATGCTCTCTGCTCTTCCAGAATTCGACCGGATAGTGGTTTTGAAAGACGGCGAAATCGTCGAGCAGGGAACCTATCAGGACTTGAAGGGCTCCGGGAGAGAGTTCGCAGACTTTTTGTCAGATCACATCGTTGAGAGGAAGAGCGAAGATTCCAAAGCTGAGGAGTTGAAGACATCGACGCGGGATCCAGTTCAGACCCAACTCTCAGTGAACAGCATTCACGAACAAGAGAAATTGATCTCCGACGAGATCATGCAATCAGGAAATGTCAAATTCTCGGTATACAAGCGATTCTTCTCAAAAATGGGCCTGAGACTCTCGTTGATCACGTTACTCGGTTTCGCTGCGTCGCGTGCCTTTGACGTTTTCGCCGGTCTGTGGCTGAGCATATGGTCGAACGAGTCCGGAGGCGACTCTGCCGAGGACTACGCCAAGCGGTCCCGGAACATCTCCATATACGCCTTTCTGGGCTTCCTTTTCGGTGCCTTGTCCTTCGTGGGTTCGGCCGCGCTGGCAAACGGTACCGTGACCGCCGCCTGGAAACTCCACGACCTCATGCTGAACTCTATCACGCGAGCCCCGATGAGTTTCTTCGATTCGACACCTCTCGGACGACTTCTGAACCGTTTCGGCAAGGACATCGACCAACTCGACACGCAGCTCCCGATCACAGCGAACCTGTTCCTCGATATGTTTTTCCAGGTTATCGCCGTGATTCTTCTGATCTGCGTGAGAGTTCCGACATTCATTATTGTCGCGGTTCCACTCCTCGTGCTGTACATCATCGTTCAACAAATCTACGTCCGGTCGATGCGTCAGCTGAAGCGTATGGAGGCCGTGACTCGATCCCCGGCCTACAATTATTTCGCAGAAACTCTGAACGGCCTGAGCAGTATCCGGGCTTATGGCACTGAGGAGGAGACAATAAAAAACTCAGACACTAGAGTCGACGTCACGCATACTTGTACTTACCTACTGTACATCTCCAGAGAATGGCTGGAAACTCGACTGGATTTCATAACGAACCTCATGGTATTCGGCTCGAACGTCATGATAGTGAGTCAGCGAGCGACGATAGTTCCTGGTGTCGCGGGATTCATGGTTGCCTACCTCCTCGGGGCTTCTTTGTCCTTCAACTTCATCGTTTACTATTTTTCCGAAGTGGAAGCGGCTGTCGTGTCCTCGGAGAGGATCGACGAATACACCGACGTCGTATCGGAGGCTCCTTGGACGACCGACGTCAAACCCCCGGGGCCACAGTGGCCCACGGAGGGCTCAGTCAAATTCGAGAAATATTCCACTTCGTATCGAGCGGATCTCGAGCCCGTCCTGAAGCAGATCGATTTGGAAATAAAAGCAGGCGAGAAGATCGGAGTGGTCGGCCGAACGGGGGCCGGGAAATCGTCGTTGACTCTATCGCTATTCAGGTTTCTCGAGGCAACGTCAGGGGAGCTCTGCATCGACGGTGTCGACATCTCGAAGCTCGGTCTTCACGATCTGAGAAGACGACTGACGATTATCCCGCAGGACCCTGTAATATTCTCCGGAACTCTCCGGGTGAATCTCGACCCGAACGCGGAGCACAGCGAGAAAGAACTATGGGACGCTCTCGAAACGGCGCATATCAAACAGCAGTTCAATGCCGATGGGATCAGCACAGAAATCGCTGAAGGCGGCAGTAACCTGTCGGTGGGGCAACGCCAATTGATCTGCCTTGCTCGTGCGATTCTCCAAAAGAAAAAGATCCTCATCATGGACGAAGCAACCGCAGCGGTCGACGTGGAAACGGATGCATTGATTCAGAAAACTATCCGGGAACATTTCTACGACTGCACTATCATAACAATCGCTCATCGTCTGAACACGATCATGGACTCGGACAGAGTGGTCGTCATGGATTTCGGAAAGATAGCTGAGCAAGGATCACCGGGAGAGCTCCTGAAGAATCCGAAGTCTCGCTTCTTCAGCATGGCCAGCGAAGCAGGACTCGTGAAAGATCCCTCAATCCAAGAAGAAACCGAATGCACCGAATAGGTTGAAACTCCACTCAGTGTAATCCTATCGCAGGTATCTATCCCTCTGGAATCTTCCTGAAGGAATCGAGAGATTCGGATGAATAGATTCTGCTCAGACTAAGCCCGATTCAAATGAAACATCGGAAAACGGTGGGGTTTGTGGATTCCACTCAATAAATATGTATAATTGATGCATGGCTCGTTTTTTCGTCTCCCATTGGTTGTTCAGATTTTTCTATGAGGCTCCCTTGGGAAGGAGTCGATCTCGGGGACCAGGAAAAATTCGAGGCTCGATTAAGATCGAGGGCGGACGATCGGCATCGGTGGAAGCTAATTTGGGAAGAGACATGAATGAGCTGTCTGATAGGATGAGAATTTTCTCCCCCAAGCTCCTTCGATGCGCCGACGGGAATCACCTCGATAGCCATTCCTTTGTAGATATGGTAGATAGGACTCTAGAAGAATCCACCGCCGAAGATGGAGGTGAGAGTTATTCACGACTGTCCGCAATGCCAGGAAGTGATTGGCCGAGATTTTTTTATCGCGACACCGTCAACGTGAGTATGGATCCATCCATTTTCATGAACTCGACCCCACGAAACTCATAGGTATGTAGCTCCAGCTCGCCGCCGTGGTTCGCGAGCGCCGCGGGCTTTCCTCTGAGGGACCCGCTCGAGAGGAGCGAGTTGTCGCTGAGAATGAGGCTTGGGCTACGGAATCTTGCGCCAGCGATGCCTCCCTGGCGGATCCAAGTCTCCGCAACCATGACCCCGGTCTTCTCTTGATCGGGTCGAGGTTCCGGGAAGGAGCCAGATATTCTTCCCCAACCCTTGATACAATCTTCGCCGACTGATGCTCTCTCAATGTTAACATCAAGTCCCGGGAGTTTGGGAGGACTCGGACACAACAGTTCCGATTCGGAATGAAGTCGCGAAGCGGAGCCATTCAAAAAATTCGTGATTTCGAGATCATCTTTCGAGGCAACGATGTTATATTTTGAGCTCGAAGCCTTAGTTTCGGAAAGCGAATCGAGATACGTACCCCAGAGATTTGTGACGCATACAGCTCGTTTTTGAGCTGATTCGATTGCCGAATAGAGAGTGATTAGTTCGTCTGATATTCCGGCGGGTCGCGAGAATACTAAGGCGGCCATCAGACTGATGACTCAATCTGAGACCGCAAATCGGAGCATACACGGCTTCCTTCCGAAGCTTGCTCCGCAGAGCATCCAATGTTTTTCTGTTGGACTCTTGACTTCAGTTTCGATTCCGTCCCCGCTCTTTGGGAGATCTGATGCCTCTCTGAGCGTCTCACACGTTGAGGAGAAACTCTTGCCACATGTCCGAGCTCTGTGCGATTCTCACCTTGGTACTGTTAATTGGGGTACCGCATGCAGGTTAGTGATCGGTATCCGCCACTACATTCTGCAGAGCTCAGAGATCTAATCAGTCATAGATTCGTTGATTAGTGTCGCAAATTCAAGTTCAGCACTTCGCCGGCGCCAATGATCGATGGTGGAAGTGTTGATGAGTCCTAATCCTCTTTCTTCCTCCAGTAACTGCTCTATACACAGGGGGCCAATTCGAGTATCGAGTGATACGGCGAGACGGTCCCCACCCTGATCTCCATCTTTCTTGGGAAGACTATCTCTTCTGTTCAGTTGACAAGGTTCACCTTGAGGACAGCCTCCGTCGCAGCACTCAATTGGAGGGACCGTCCAAGCCTCTCGTCATCAAATCCACCGAAAAGTTCCCGCTCGTGTATTGGATCAACTATACGATCTCCTTCCATTACAAGTGTCTCTTGAAGGATGTCTGGAAAATCAGGAAAACCACTTCCGGGAGAGGCGGTAAGAAGGAACGACTCGGAACATGAGGAGTTGTATGCCTTCCGAAAGAGAGAAAGTCTTGATACGTGAGAATTCAAATATGATACTTCGATGAAATAGGGTTGTTTGAGGAGCGTGGTGGTCGGAGGGCGCTCGTCGGTTCACGGCAGCTTGAGCCGTGAGTGGGCAGAGCGCGGGAAGTTTCCTATGAAGGAGCGTATAGCCGACTTGAGAGCAGCCCACCCTGATGTCGTCCGTCCTTATTTTTGTCTTGTGTGTGTGTACTCAATCGGCCCACCGTCGTTCCCGCTCACCTTCTTCCAGAGCCTCTGCCGATACGACGCCTCCGAATTTCAACAGCGTCGAATTTCGCGACCCTCAAGTGGGAGGTCCCGGCTGAAATCCTCCGACTCGACGCATGGGCGACGGTCCACATCCATCTAGTGGCCGAGGGGTATTTCCCGGAGCGATCCAGATACAGGAGATCCAACGTGACGGTCAGAATTCCCCTGTTCCCTTGCGCTGTTCCCTCAATAAATAATCTTTCATCTAGCCCGATTCCATTGCGAACCCTCAAGTACGACTCCGGAAGCGCTCCGACGCTGATGCAGGGGGTGATTCCGTGTAAATCTTCCGAACGTTTCTCTATTGCATGCCTCGTCCAGGGACCCTTCATCTTGAGGCCGCTCTCACTTGATGTGGTGTACACGGTGTCTCTCACAGTTCAAATCGCCAACGAATCTAGCATCGCCGAAAAGAAGCGATTCCTTGTCGGCGTCTCAGACGGTTCGTCTCCCGCGCCTGTCAGGGCCGCGGGCAAATTATGATCCAAAGGGACCGGGGGGCTGACATCTAGATGACGAATTCGTAATCATCGATTCCCATGCAGAGCTCAGCCGTGTGGATGATATCGATGTGCTGTTCAAGAACGACACCGAAGTCGCTCTACAATGGGGTTACGAGGAGTACATCGACTCTATCGCCTTCATCAGAGCTTTCGAAGTCAGATGGAGACCCATTTCCGCTGGTGCCTTTTGGCAGCAAGTCATCACAACCAAGTGGAACTACACGTTGACGAATCTCGAGCCCAATGTCCCATATAACATTTCCGTCAGCGCGTATTTCCTGTGTGGAAACAAAGCGGTTCAAGGTGCCCGGAGGTACACGCTCATCGGCGTCGACCCATCTGCAGGTCAGGAGCGTCCCACTGCGGACGATTTGTAATCTATTGTGAACTCGAGCCGATCGAATTTCCCTCCAATGATACAATATGAATCATCGATCCGTCTTCAGATTTCCCGATCTTGATCTCGACGGCGGGCGTTGTGACCTTCATACTCATCGTGAGCGCGGTCATAGCTTGCTTCTCTTGTGCAGCTCACAGGGAAAGGTAAGAGTTCTGATCTGCGCTAGGTTTCTAGCGTCGCCGCTCGATCGTACTCGCAGACGATTCCTGAAAAGAACTTCCTCGCAGGAAACGCTCACGAGAAGCCAGATTGCTTCTGGAACGCTATCGGAAGTCGACGAGACCTGAAGACACGCGAAACGTCAGACTCTCACCCGTGGCTGCCGAAACTTCTCGCGAATTCATTGAAAAACTTTGATGGTTTCCACAGTGCCCAAGGAAAATAGCGCCCCGCAGAACCGACCGAATAAACAGTCGCTCGTGGTGATGATTGCTCGCTCAAATGATTTCGCTCTTCCTTATTTTTCGCTGATCAAAAATCTCGAATGAATGGTCAAATGATCACATAGTCTTCCGATAAACGGCGGAGGACCTAATTTCGTATCCGAGTCGTTCTCTTCGGCCGGCAAGGGTGTATCGGACTTCGCTCCGCCTTTCCTTCCGCACCCTCCCGCCGCTGCTCTGATCCACGCTATTCCTCCGACCTCCACGATTGCAACACACGAATTTGAACTACGGAAAAATTAAGAATTCATTCCACGATACCAACGAATAATGACCAGAAGAGAATTCCGAAGAAAAAGTCTTGGCGTATTTACACTGAGTAATTAACTCCAGAGACGTGAGCGTTACATTCGACTCATTCCGCGCATTCTCGCATCCTTTCTGGCGAATCTCGAGCTGTTACCCTTAGTCATTAGATAATGGAATGTTAGACCGAATAGCGAGAAATCAATTCCGAGCGCAGTCTGATTTCTCATGGGAGTCGTCAACTGAGCCGAATGCTTTTCTGATTGGAGCGCTGTTACAAACTCTATAATGCGCCTCGGAATCGGCCTCCCCTCGTTCTCAAGTCAAGCGGCGAAAGGTTGTATCGTTCCTCAGCGTGGTCGTCTCCGACGGTTTTCTGTTTGCTCAAGGTTTCCCCCTGGTCGGAGAGAAGCTCTCCTGTGCGCCGGTCTCCAATGGATAATCGACAGGTTGATCGCCAGTGCTGACATCGAATGGAGTCCGAATGGAATAAGCTCGCCTGAAATTCTACAGAGACCTCATGGAGAGCTTGAAGTTTCTCTGCTTCGATGTGCTCATTCTCATGACGGTGGCCTACTCTTCAGGCGGGCAATCTGCACCTGTGATGTTGCCCTTCAATGAAGAGAATTCCCCGAAGAACGGGGGTATGTTCTGAAAAACCCCTGACATAGCTCGAGAAGTCGGTGAAAATGACAAAATTTCGGAGCAGTCCTCTCGTTGCAGTCCTGCCAGGCCTCTATCGAATCGAGGCGATCTTCAGCGCTGTCGGACCAATGGGCATCCTGAATCTGACCTGGCCGACAGTAATCTGTGTTGGAGGGGAGAGACCGAGCTACAGGGTCGAGGTGCATCAGGAGTACGGGTTTCTCAGAGAAGTGACCAATGGCACCTGCTGCAGCATAAGGTCCAGCCAAGATTTCCCTGTTCTGTTTTTCCAAGAATACTTGCTCAAGTTATCCTGCGTCTGTGGACGTCACGCAGAAACGTTGCTATGGATTCGGCGGTTCACCTCGGGACCCGGAGGTGAGAATTACTTCGTCCCGCTGCATATCAAGCGCACCCATCTTTTTCGCATCACACACCATGCGGAGAGCTGATTGGGCAATCAATTGGAAAACCCGAAGAAATCGATCCACCTTTGCTCTATTCTCATCAGAGCCGCTGCCTCTCAAGAATCTCATCGTCGCGACCCAGGACACCAACGCCTTCCTAGTGTGGGAAACACCATCAGAGTTGAGGAAATTCTGCGGCAATCGCGCATTCGAGGTTCATGTCACCATCTGTGAAGAAGAGCGAGCGGTCTGTGGGATTAGGACCCTCCCTCTTTGTCCAAGAGTAGGCATCGTCATAAATGGGTAGATTGCATGGTTCAAGAACACTCCTAGAACGCTCTTTATGCGGCGGAATCCGTGGTTTACTTGGATTACGTTATTTCAGGCTTTACCGAATCTCCGCTATTTGAGTCGTGATCGAGTGTACGTTATAAGAGCGGAAGTCGTCGTTGGGAGTTTCCGGAGCAGAGACGTTTCGATCATCCTCAAGCAGCATTCCTATCGGGGAATATCGGCGATGAAAAGTAATCAAATAGCAAATTTCTGAAAATAGCTCGTCGCATATATTTCTCGGCACTCCAGTCTACTTGAACCGTGGCAGAGCTGGAATCCTGCATAGGGACTTCATTTGAAGCGAATCGACTCGTCTGGACAAATCTCGGCTGTATAGCCGAAGAATCATCGAAGTCTCTCTACTAGGAGGGCTCTCCCGAAACGGGAACTTTTGGACCATTTTGGGTACAACGAGAGACGAGCGAGCACCTTTTGGCCTGCTCGTCTAGCTCTTTCGCGGAAACTAGTACCCTCTTATTCATCGACATCTTCTGAAAGTCTGAGAAATAGGCAAGCACGTCCCTCCTTCAGAGAGAATAAGTTATGTCTAATTGCTTGACCTCTTCTTTCCAGTTCTGAAAATTCTCGGTCTCATCCTCCTCGCTGCGTACGTGCTGTTGCTCTTGACCTACGTTATCTACCGCAATCACTGCATTTGAACGTGACAGAGATTCTCGGAAAACCAGATGTTAGCAGTCCGAGCTTCATCTCCATTGCCGTGACATGATTGCGGATGAGTCTTCCCGTCGCTGTGCAATTAAATCAACTCGAAAAACACTCATGTCGGCATGTCTTTTCTGCATTGATCCTACTGCCTGATTCCGTGTATTCAATTCATAGCCCCCTGGCCCCCTTGCCTCTCCCCCCTATATACGCTACTCATTACGACTCCAGCTCGTTTCGAAGATTCAGGAGGGAGTTCCCGAACATCGTCGATTATTCGTCACACGCAAGGATGTTTCCGCACTATTTTTCAAGTCAGCGTCTGAAGGAGCTCATTAACCTCCCACATTCTCCAGATGCGCAGCCGCAGAGGATGCCCTTGTGCTGCAATTGGCTGGCACATCTGACATCCACATGGAGCTTATGCCCTCGAGAATCTTGGTTTCTTCCTTGACCTAGGACCCTATTTTATTGATCCATTCGATTCAGGTTGATACCTAGGGTTCGCAATACAGTTCTCATGACCTCCATCCCGCCCCTCTCCACCGCGAGCCCTTCGACTTCGGTCGCACTTCTTTTGTGCTCCGCTTTGGAGAGCGGCTCACTGTAGTCAGATTGGATATCCTTGTTGTCTCCCCGAATTTCCACTACAGCTATATGCTCGAGAGCTTCTCGGTCCCCGCTCGATGTGCTCAGGTTGACACGTTCGCCGTCTCCCGAATCGTCCTTGTTTCCCGAAGTAGGGCTCCGCGGATATCCTGCCGGGAACCGGGCCGTGGGTTTTTCTTCTCAATCAGACTCAAAATCTGCATCGAAAATTCGCGAGCCTGAAGTTGTAACTTCCGCCTTCGATCAGCGCTCGCCATTCACTCAATATTCTGGACCTTCACTCATGTACATATGTATGAAAGAGCTTTGAGGTGCCACTGGATTGGCAGTAGCCAATCTCTGGGAGAATCGTCAGATTCCTCATCGGTGCGCTCCAATCGACGCCTTTCTCCTTCGGTACGAGTAGGACAGCCGTTCGCCTATGTGTGTCTGGATTCCGGAACTCGCGTTTCACGTGATTTAGTGACGTCATCGTTCCGACAGCCACCAGAATTCCGACGATGAATCTCGCTGAGATCATCTTGCCGATGTTTTCTGAGGAATATTCATGTGACTATCGATAATGAGCGCAAGCGACTCGCGGACGACGTGACCCAAGAGAAACGCTGATTCACGCTCTCATCGCTCACGTAACCGGAGTCCCTCAAGAAAGGCGTCGACGAGGATGTGGGAAGCGGCATGGACCTTTTTTGCCTCCGCTCGTCGCGACGCCTACCCAGGCGAATGAAAGCTTCGAGAGTCAGTTCAGGCTTCGAGTATGCTACTCCGCGGGTCGATGTGAGAACCGAAGTTACGAATTCGCGGCTGGACGGTAAGTCTCCGTCAAAGATGGTCGCCGTGCGTTCCTAGGATCTGACTTTGCTGTGGGTCAGAGCGCTTTTACCGAATAGGATTCGAAATCCGCCACTCATCGTGATTCTCTCGCCCTGAGTCGCCGCTGCTCACGGGATCTCATCGATCCATTGGGGTTACTTATACGTCTGCTGCTTCATTACATAGCATTCCAGATTCACACTTCAAAGTGAGAACCCAAGAGAGATAACATTTTTGCCATAATGGAAACGTTCGGCGTGTCAGCTCTACGCCTGTAGAATCCGCGAAATCCACCTTATCCCGCCGAGGAACGTCGTTGATAATCTGCAGGGATCAGTTGTGGGCTCATTGGCGATATGCGTACTCTTTCGTTCCTCGGACTAGTGGTTTCGGTTGTCTCGGTGATGTCGAAATTCACAAGTCTTCACTCGGATAACCAGATCGGGAGCTTCATTGAAGCCGCCCATATCGAAATCGAGCGAGTTCTGATCGTCGACTTATCAAGAATTCTCGACACGTTCCAGCGGCCCATACAAGCGAGTTTACTTTTGGCCGAGCCGGAACACTCGGTGATCGCGAATCACTTGGAAAAATTTCCGCTTGGGAATCTAATCACGCGGAGCTCGGTTGCCCCTTGGTTCTTGAATACTCTGACCGCGCCCCTGATCGCGGTGATAGTGTCCAGCATCGAAACAATCAAGACTTACGGTCGCAACGATATATACCAGAACATTCGCCACAAGTGCATCGGGCACTTCTCCTTCGGTGAAATACGATCAATGTTCTCTGGTAGTCTCAAGTCTTACGGAATCCCCGTATTTCACGTGGACCGTAAGAGAACAGTTTTCGCTTGCAACAGGAAAAACACAGTTCTTGCTTGGCGTGAGAGTCGATTCAGGCGGGATCCTGAAGCTTGTCTGGAATCGAAACCGGTGTCGATGGAGTTCGGGATAAACTCGGGTAGGTTCTCCCGTACCGAAGCAGGACTCAATGTCGAGCTGTATTCCCGATACAACAACTCAGTGGCGCGGTTTTTCGCCGTGCTCCTACCGATAAACCTATTCCCCTCGAGTGTGGACAACCCTTATTTTCGTCATACGGCCGTGAATAATGTTGTCGGCAGCAAGTACTTTACTGGATGTTACACGTTACTTCTGAACAAAGAGAGGGATATCAAGGATTTGCTGCGTCCTTTCTCGAGCTTGACGTGGTTGGTCTTCTTGCTCAGTATTCTTTCATTCAGCGCGTTCTTGAAGGTTGCGGATCAGGCTCCTTTCTTCGGAACATTCGCTGCGATCTGCCAAAACTTCATGAATGGAAGACCGATTGAGCTGAGGAGCAAAAGAGCTCACAGCCTCCTGGCTTGTTCGACGGCTCTGGTACAGAACTTTTTCATGGTGAATGTTCATAGCAATATTTTCCTCGCTGATTTCCTCGACCCTACGAAGCCGCTGCAGGTGAATAATTTCTTCCAATGCCACCTCAATCTGCAATGCTCCCACATGGCTCTCCCGATGAGCGCCATGATATACGAACACATGGCAGTGTGCGGCTTGGATGATGCACAGCTGAATGCTTTGGGTATGCCGTTGTTTAGAGTGCGTTTCGAGTACAAGACCCGGGAGAATCCGAGAGAGATTTCCTCCTATCGGGACCCTGAGAACGCCCATGGATTGTTTCTGAGATTCAACGGTGCATCGGTCCAATATAATTCGGATGTCCTACAATCAGTAAGCCTCCTCGTGAGGACTTTGAATCAAAGAAGTGATCTTTACAATCGGCTGTTCGAACATTCGCTGATCCCCTCGACATTATTGCATTATCACCAGTCGCCGCGAGGGAAGCCTCGCCTCTATGGAGATCGTTCGGAGGACATGTACTTCAGCAAAATCTACAAGCCGATCACCGAGGTAGTTCTCGAAGATTACTTCGCGGAGGAGCGCCTCTTGCGTCACGGAAAATCGCGAGGCTGGTTCAAAATCCACCATCTGATCAAATTGCTGCCTCTTTTCGGCTGCTGCGCTGCAATTATTCTGATTTCGATTGAATTCGAATTACTCATCGTCGGCGCTGGCAACTGCGTGCATTGCTTGAGGAGAAGGAGAATCCACATCGGCTGCTCGCCACGCGAATGAACAAGACGGTTTTTCTGCTTTGTGAGGCAGCTGCTACATCGCACCATCATCGCTCGGCATGCTCGAACCTAGGAATGGGTGAAAGCCCGGTTCTGGCGCAGGGAGCGTCGCTGATTAGCGACGGATCGGATTTTCTATTGGGCTGAGTACCAAAGATGACGATCCGCTCGTATATTCAGCACTACGAAAACAGGGCTTGGGAGGAGGGGCTGTTGCCGACTATACGGAGACCTGGGAATCAAGAAGACTCCTCCGACTCCGAGGAGCTCCCTAATGAGCTTTGTTTCTTGACTTTTTCATTTTCGACATGCAACTAATATATGTCGAATAAATGAATGTCATAGAGATCCTTCTGAGCTGGGACTGACAGCAGTGCGCGATAAGCCCGCTTCTGTAAATGATGAAACTTATGCGATTGGAGGCACAGAGACTTTTGTCACAATTGAAGGAGAGGCATAATTCGATCCCAGAGCGCCATCTCTAATCCTGCTCCGCGAGCTCGTCGCCGATGTAGAAGGATGTGTGATGTAAGTATCGGTCTCAGGGTCGCGCTGGCGTCCGGCGTCCATAGACAACCTCCTTTGTCCAGCTCCTCGATGAGTCGATAGGAGTTTTCAAGAGTTGAGAACATCAGATTAGTAATCGGGAGCTATTGGTGGATTTGTCGCTGCTCAGGGTCCTTCTCCTTTCTACAGGGTTTTTGCTATCAATCTGACTGTCGGAACTCCATGTGTCGGGAAGAGGATGTCTATGAGGTTTGCGGGAGAGAGCATTCCGAAGGGAGAATAGCGAGCTCAGAAATCTCGGTGTAGATTACGCTTTCCAGATTCAAAGCTCTCAACAGGGCTGCCGCTCCGGCTCAACCACGGGAGCTTACCCGCTTGTCTGCCTCCTCGAGTTCGATGAACAGCGAATGAGCTCCCTATAGATTCCCGTGGGGGTTAGTCACTTTTCCGGAATGTGCCGCTTTGTTGCGGATCGCCACTCTGTTGAAGGGGCAAGCCGGCAGTGATAATCGCTCTAATTATAATAATTCGTGATAATCGAAACTTTCGACTCTATTCGGCATGGTGAGATCCAGAAAATCGGCTAGGGGGACGTTACTGCGAAGACAACTAATGGTCAGAACTAGGCATTGCAAATAACCGCAATTCAGAAAAACCGCGGTTTCGATTTACCGGAGCCGAAACACCGCTAACCGCGATTATAATCGCAAATAGCCGCGAGCGCTCCAGCGAGTGATCTGAGGCGAAATCAGCATGTGAACATGGATCTATTTCTATTGTAGCCTATTTGAAGCTTTCGGGGGGGAAAGGGAGATGACGAGCTCACTCAGAGAATGGAATCTCCCGCTTGCGTGTTTAATGAATCAAGAGTTGGAAGGATCATGGAGTCCAACGAATTTCAGAGAAGATGTACTCTCTAAGACAATGATCAAGCCGGGAGCGTTTGATGGCTCTCGCAGCACGAGCGAAGAGTATCGTTGATGTTTAGATTTCGAACGCTTTAGCAACGAAAACGTCGATGCACGCCC